AGAAAATATGCTAATGGAGACAGATACAGAAAACTTGTATTGTTTCCATAAAATATGTGACCATGTAATAAACATATAAATAATAATATATAAACATAAGTAAATAAATAACAAAACTTTTAAATTAAATATAAAAAAAAAATTCTGCTGTGAATTTCCTGGCAGTAAAGGCTTGGTGGGTACTTATTTCAGATTACACCTGGAAGGGTTCCTTTTACCCCCTTGGAAATCATATAATTTAATCATATAATACTGACGAGGAACAGCTACAGGACTCGCTTAAGACACATGTCTATTGGTACCATCTGCAAGTAACTCTTGTTCCACTATAGAATCACCAGAGTCCATCTTGGGTGTTGAGGTTAAGCTTTCCTTTGGCATCATACATCAACACAGGATTGTGACAAGCTCTGCTGTCTATGCTCTGTAGGTGGCATAACACGGGTGGAGGTCAGGTGACCCAGAGAGGGAAACCCTTACAGCATTCCTCAGTCAGCGGTGGGTGACTCTCTGAGAAGAACAGTACAGCAGCAAAGCTCAGCTCTCCCACCGATGACTTATTTCCAGGTCACTCAGTCTACAAAATGTGTAGGATGGGAGGAGGTGATTGAGCTTCCCTGAGCCCAAGAATAATGCCACCTTTGATCTACAGGAATGAAAAAAAAAATGGAGCTTTTCCTTTGCAAGTGGATTTTTAAATATTTCTCCATTAATAGTTAATGCACAAGCAGACCATCAGCGTGACAGCTCCCCGCGATTATGAATTCTGGCTTTGTAACTCCAGTCCAAATAGGAGCTGAACTTTGGAAATCACGGTGGTTACTTTTGACAAATTAAATTGTCCTACTTAGGAAGGTAGAAAGAACGGAGAGCAGGACTGTGAGAGAGTGGGAGCAATGTCTCCTCGACTGAGGAAGAAAAAAAAACCAAGAAGGGATGATGTTTGTATTTTCTAGGCTGAAGGCACTGCCAGTGTTTATTAAAAAATAGACACAGAAGACTCTTCTTCAGAGGTAGCGCGAGGGGGGGGGGCGGGGAAGACGTTGCTGGTTCACTCACCGTCTCAAAACTGGAAAGAAAATGTAATTGAGAGAATAGTTCATTTTTAATAAGAATTGAGTTTTTCCTCAAAATGGTGTAGTTTAAAATTAATTAGAAAGAAAAGGGTCTTACATGTCTAACAATCTGAAAACAAGAAGGGGCTTAATGCTTTGTACTTTATGGCTGTACTGAGGCTTCTAAACTACATCATCTTGTATCAATGGATTCTCTTCCTATCCAGAGCCATTCTTGCCCTGTACATGCTCCTCTGTATTTGGCTGGCTTTGGATAAACAACATATTATAAGAACTGTTCTGTTCAGAAAACGTGCTGAAATAAGGGTAGGTGAATTTCTAGCAGAGAGCAAAATATAAAAGCAGATTGGGACAACCAGGAAATCAGCAGCTAGTATTAAAAAATGCTAAATGAACTTTACTCTCTGAGACTAGAAAATCTAGGTTTTCTCTAAACTGACATTTCCAGATGTGGACCTCGGGGCTCACTTAGGACAAATGCATCGGTCTGGACACAACCAGCTGTGCCACGGAAAGAGTCAGGGAACAGAGCACCAAGGTACCCAGGGACAGAGGAGCAAAGACTTCACGCAGCAAGAGGAGGAACAATGGCTGCCCTTGGCCATGCTTGCTTTAGTTTTTACCTTCACTCAAGAGATCTTCTAGAAATTTCACTGTTATCCCTTTCACCTGCACCACCTGATGAGAGCTTCGTTTCTATTTTTCATTGTTGTTTGGGCTTTGAACCCAGGGCCTCACACATGCATGCCATGCACACACTCTCCCACAAAGCTTTTCTCCTAGCTAGGATTATAGGCCTGTATTAGGCATGTGCTATCACACTTGTGTGTTGTGGGGGGCCTGGCCCCATATTTTCCCCCAGGGTACTCTTGAGCAGGGAGAAATAAGGAATATGTAGATAGAAATATAGAGAAGAAAGACAGATAGAAACACAGGATAGCCTCGGGAGGGCCTGGGTCAAAACCCACCAGCTCCTTCTGTCTCTACTAAAGGGCTTTCAAAGGAACGCCAAGGAGTCGAGCAAAAGATCTCCCCCAGCACAGCCAAGTGCAGACCATCCCAGACACCTGGTGACCGTGTACATGGTCAAACTATCCCCTAATGCAGCCCTGCTGGGTGAAGCAAGCTCAGATCTCACTAGGAAACCTTTATGGGCTCCCACTGTGTGTGTGTGTGTGTGTGTGTGTGTGTGTGTGTGTGTGTGTGTGTGTGTGTGTGTGATAAGTGCAAGGCATTTCTCCTGATGTTAACATTTTCAATAAATGAAAAGGACCAGCAAAATAGCTCTCAGCAGGTGGAGATACTTGGTGCCAAGCCTGAGGTCATGAGTTTGATCCTTGGCTCCCACCTGGTAGAAGGTAAGAACCAACTCCCATAAATTGTCCTCTGACCTCCACAGGTACATGTAAACACACACACACACACACACACACACACACACACACACACACACACACACACACGTAAAAAATGTAAAAAAAGAAATGAAGATAGGTTAAATAAGATAGGTTAGGAACTCTCTGAAGTAGGTTTAGATCATCTTACATTCTCACAGGCTCAGGAGTAAAAATAGTAAACACTCTCTGGTGGGAGGCATGGTCCCATAAACTCCAAATGTCCTTTATCCCCAAACATCAGTGGTGCTTTTAGTAAGAATTTTGATAAAGCATTGATAAGCAGGGGTGGTAGAAACTAATGTGAAATTGAAGATGATCAAGGTGGTTTCACGGCATTTGAAAGCCTCAGAAGACCTGCAGAACAATTAAAGAGCCCCGCTCCTCCAGGACTGTCTTTGATCGATAGGCTACAAGTTCCCCTCTAATAAGTCATCAGTTTAGTGGATTCCCGAAAAAGCAGATTAGAACAGAGGAATGGAATATTGAAAATGCTGACCTGACCCAGGAAGCCCTAGGGATTCTTGGGCAAGACCTCAAACTAATTCTCAGTAAGTTTTTCTAATCTAAAAGCCACACTTCTACAGGATTCCTAACACCATATCCTCAGGATTGCTTTGGAAGTTTCCAGACCTCTCCACCTATTTGGGGCTCACACCAAGACCCTTCCAGACCTGTAGAATTTTCCCTTGGTTTCTTGGTGATGTAATTTTTTTTTAACAAATCAAATGCAAGAGAATATTGGTCTATGTTGAACACCTAAAAGCAGAAGCACAGTAACAGGATGAGTCACAGATGAAAACAGCACAGTATGGGAAATGTTTGGAAAAATACTCTAACCCAGAAGCCCCGAGTGGGTAGAATAATCACCCTCAGTGTGCCAGAGTGGGAACTCTCAGGCGAAGCACTTACGAGGAAACCGCAAGAAAAAGACAACGGCTTTCTTCATTCAATGACTTCCTATTAATTGTGATGTAAATTATATGGCTGTGATTTTGACAAAGAATAGCAATGTTCCAGAAAAACAGTGGCTTATATGCAAAATACAAAATGCATCAAGAAGAAAAGCAATGTTACTTGGCAATATGACTGCAATAAGTTCTGAGATACTGGTTTAGAAATACAATATTTTTCTAGCACTAAATTAATAATAGATTTGTGAGCATTTTTCAGATGCAATTTCTGATCCTGTCATGAAATGTGAAATAGCCTAGCTTTAGTTACATGAGTTGGAAACTGTTACTCAAACAATGTTATGTCAGAAAATATTTGGGGTAGTGCAGACAGCTATTCTTACAGGAAACAGAAAAGTCACCGAACAACATCAGTGCTGGACAGAATTCTTCAGAGAGTAAAATGTCCCCATTCACTGAGTCCCTAGGGAGCCTATATCTTTTCTTAACTAAGATGATTCCCAAGGGACAATAATTAATGTCAATCAGATACTGTAAAAGTATATGTCTCTCTCCTTAGAGGAGGCAGAAGTTAAAATACTTTATTAAAGAAAGTTTATCGAAAATGGTAAAATTGAAGAAGATAACTTTTATTTGACCTTGAGTGTACTTCTCATTCTCTAAGAATTTTTAAAAAGCTAGAGGGTAGTTGTTTCTTGTCATTTTGCTGTTGCTGATTCTGTGGTTAGTTATTAATTTTATTTTTTATGATTCACAATCTGCTCTTTGAAATATGCCATATGCTCAAAGCAATTCAAGGATGACAACTGTCAGAATTACTCCAATAAAAATGGCTTAAATGAGGAAGATTTACTGCAGCTGATATATCAGTCGAGCGGCCCTCTTTCTCCCCCACAGCTCTTTCGGGGACTCTGAATCTTGCAGTCATTTTTTTCCCTAGTAAAAATCACATGATTGTTTTGTAAGGACTTCTTAAGACTGTTGAAATAGAATTGGTAAAACACTCTAGGTTAAGGAGGGAACTAGCAGACATGGAAGTAATATAGATAGTTATCAGCTGGATTGCCTGAAATCAATATGAATTCCAAGCAAGCATTCTTAAACCACCTGAAAATGCACAGACTTAATGACAAAGTCTGCTCTATGCATCGCTCACATACCTTAGATTGCATGAGCCCTGCACTTTGGTAACAACAAGACAAAATCAAGGCAAATTTCTTTCTTCTGGGAAGATCTAAAGGGGTGGATCAAATCCACCTGAGTGCTCCAATCAAGACACACACTATGAAGTGTTACCAGCCCATCGTCTATCCTGGGTTTTGTTTCAGTCATTCTTATTAATGCAGTTTCATTTATTGCTATTCATCTTGAAGATAAAGCTCTGTCCTTCTTTGGAATTACACCAAACGGAATGTGATAAAGGGAACTTTCTTGCAATTATGATGTCGGTGCAGCCTGTCAGCACACTAGGGATAGAAATGAGTTTGGGGACAGGGAAGGGAATTCTAATAGACACCATGATACATACAATGAACACAAAGATATCCTGAGAGAGAGACTTGTCAGGCTAATCAGATCTTCCCAGCACAGTAAAAGCAGGGAAGGGTAGCTCTAACCTTGTAGAGATGCTGCTGCTGTTCCTCTGACATCATCAGGTCGTGGCTGTCCATCACGAGGGACTCCATGTCAATCAGCCAATCCCAGAGCTCCTGATATTCTGAATCAAAGTCCAGAAGCCTGAAGATAAGGCACAAAAATGTATTATGCATAAATACAGTGTAGTTGTTAAAATCTCCTATTAGAATAATATATTCTTGAAAACCCATGATGTTCCTAGGTGAATATCTGTACAAAGAGAAGGAAAAACCCTCTGTACGGTTACACAGAGGGCAAAGAAGGAACTTAAGGCTGTGACACAGCCACTTCCTAGATTTTGAAAGCACAACATGTAATTCCTGTACTCACTCCAAGCCACACCATTGTGATTACCATTGACTAACCCTTTCTAAACAAAGAGACTAGGACTATGTCCTTGAAAAGAAGCACCATTACTTCACGGACTGAGAAATGGAGGGTCAGTGACTTGCTGAAGTTTTCATAGTCCCAGATTTGGGGTCAAGACAGCACTTTCAAAATCTGAATTGCTTTCTCACTTAAATTTCCCAGACGTTACTCCTCAATAAGCTTATTCATAAAAATATTATCTAGATTTTTCAGCAATGATAACATATGCTAACAAATCAAAATTATTATTTTCACTGGGAAATGACTCAATCATTCATCTGTCCCTCTGCTGTCTATCTGCCTATCTCTGCAAACATGTATCCTACATTTATGGTCATGGATGAGTAGCTAGCATTGCAGCTTAACACTCAGAGATAGGCTTGAGTGATTCTGGTAAGCCAGTGAGAACCAGTGGCAGATCCAGTACTAGACAGGTGCTCCCCACAGACATGCAGGAAACAAAGGTAAGGACAGGAAGTCAAAACAATGAATCTTTGAATAGCCAGCGATCATTAAAATTCAAAGGAGGATCACTATGGTTTTCAACAAAATAAATCATTAGAATAAGGAGCTTAACAGGATTAATGTGATTCTCTATTGAAAGCCTGGTGAATAAGTAAAGCCCAGATTCTTCTAAAACACTGTGATCAGAAAATGGAAGTATAGAATGAAAACTATGACTTTGTCCTCCCACCTCCAAACCACCCTTAAGAGCAATACTACAATTTTGTCAAACTCAATGGGGGTAAATTCCCCGTAAGTGCTCATGGAGTAGTGACCTCGGCTATGAATGTGGCTTAGTCAGTGGGGTATTTTATTACTATATTCCTGTCTCTGTCAGATGGCTTTTCAAGAAAATGCATACCATATACTTAATAGGTATGTCAAACAAGTTTACAGTGGGTCTGGCCATGGGAAAACTAAATCTGGAACTGCCTATTTTGCTTTAATTGTTTTTACATCACTGCAAAGGTTCTTGATTGTGAAACTGATTGGTAAGTGTTCACTAGACGTTGGTGATACGTCAAGCTGCTGCAGACAGAAACTTCAGCCAGTCTACAGTGGCCTACAGCATTGCTTTGAAGACATGGGCACAGCTGAGGAGTCTACGAAAATGAAGGTACTAACTCCTGCTTGGGGAGGAGGATGCAAGTCTGCATCAACCCAGTGTTGTCCACACTCTGAATAGCAAGAGGTTTCCAGTATACCCGTGAAATGTGAGTTAGTATTCCCACTCAACATCAAACCAACCACTATAGGAGGCTAAAAAAGCCATCAAGATTTCAGAGTTAGTCTGTGAATAATAACTACTACTAAATACTGTTGGAGATCTCTCCTGGAGCTGCCCTCTCCAAACCTCACCCCTGAGAAAACCCACCAAGCAGCGGCTTCTCCCCCCCACAACCCTCTCCACCCTGAGGCAAAAGCCTTCCCCTTGCAGTTCCCCCTCTTGGCTTCTCCTACTTCTGGGGACCACCTGAGAAGGTTCTGCTCAGATTAAACCTGGAATTATTAATTCGGTCTGATCTGATTCACTGTGTTGGTGGATTTACTCACTTCAGGGACATTTTTTTCTATCAAGTATTTGCTTGTGTGGTCACTTAAAAAGACATCTGAAATTATGGCTACCCTTTCCCAATTAAAAATTGGGGAAAAGTGAAATGCAACCACAAAATTTGGAGAGTAGGATATGGAGGAGGATTAAAACCAAAAGGAGAAATAAATAAATAATCAGCTCTTCATTTATAAGTGGGCTGGAAGAACCTGAACCAAGTAAAGAAATAAATGATCAGTTCTTCATTTAAGTGGGCTTGGAGAACCTGAACCAAGTCAAGACAGGAGGGATGGATAGATACTCTAATGTATTCCCCCTTTTCTTTCAGCCCAAATCCTAGAGAGGAAGCATGTGAGGAAGGCTGATGGAGGCAGAACACCCATAATCCTCAGCTTCATCTCCTGCTAGGCACTATAGAGGAGATTGTCTTCTGTGGTACACTTACAATAAGCAGGACCAAAATGAAAATGGAAGGATGAGAGAAAGGTAGGGGCGTGGGAGAATGTAGGGGGAGATGAGGAGATGTGTGGGTCTGGGGGGGGAGCTAGTTTTGATTAGGGCTCCTGTTAACACTCTGTTACCTAATCTTCTCCAAGAACTGACTCCAAGATTTCTGAAAGTTCAATGGCTAAGCTGGGCAGAGGTGTTACCATGGTAACAAAGGCACAGTGAACCTAAGGACAGGCAGGTGGGGGGTCCAGCATGGGCATGTGATGCCTGGCCTCTTTGAAATTTGGTAGGACCTCTAAGGGCTGAGATGTGGCTTAGTCAGCCAGAATTCTACTAGGGCATGAACAAGCCAAGAGATAACAAGAAGTACAACAAACACAGCTGTCCTCAAGGTGCAACTTGCCTGAGACGATCTAGCCAGCCTGTACCAAAACCCTATGTTTAGCCATTGCATTCAAGAATCACAAAGTCATGCAAACTTCTATTTGCTCAGCTGTCATCTTGGAGAGAAAAAATGGAGAATGGGAGATCTGAAAACCTGAGCATCAACTAAGACATCACTCCCTAAGAAGAATGAATACATTAAGGAGGCTATCATCTATTTAAAGCTTCAAAGCTGATCTTAAAATGCACCTTTCTCTTATTCTCTAAGGTGTTCCAGTTTGTTTTTGGTTGCTGTGATTGTGGTGGTTTGAAAGAAAATGGGCCCTAAAGGGAGTGGCACTATTAGGAGGTATGGCCTTGTTGGAGTAGGTGTGGTCTTGTTGGAGTGGGTGTGGTCTTGTTGGAGTAGGTGTGGTCTTGTTGGAGTAGGTGTGGCCTTGTTGGAGTAGGTGTGGTCTTTTGGGAGGAAGTGTGTCACTGTGAAGTGGGGCTTTGAGGTCTCTTTACTCAAGCTTCACTTGGTGTCACTGTCAGTCGACTTCCTGTTGCCTCTGAGTCAAGATGTAGCACTCTCAGCTCCAGCACCACATCTGCCTGCACACTCCCATGCTTCCTGCCATGATGATAATGGACTAAATCTCTGACCTGTAAGCCACCACCCCAACTAAATGTTTTCATTTATAAGAGTTGCAGTGGTCAAGGTGTCTCATTACAGCAATAAAAAACCCAAACTGAGGCAGTGACAAACATCACATCCAAAAGCAACTTGCCAGGGTGGAGGGTGTTTATTTCTACTTACAAATTACAGTCCATCATGAAGGGAAGTCAGGACAGAAGCTGGAGGCAGAAACTGAAGCAGAGACCATGGGAGAGTTTTCTTAATATGAGCCATTCTGATTGAGGTAAAATGAAATCTCAAGGTAGTTTTAATTTGAACTTTGTAGGGAGTTAGTGGGTTAGTCTTTTCTTTTTTTTTCCAGTGTTTTTAAGGATACATTTGTTTATTTAAACTGATCACATATATTAATGCTCCACTGATGAGCTACCTTCCTATTCCTTTCATCTGCTTTTCTATGGGAAAGTTAAAGGAAATTTATGAACATGAGAATTATTAATGAATAGACTGGCTTTTACTAGACCTGCCGAGCTCTTCCTTCCTATTTGTGTTCTTACCAAGGACCTCAGCACAAGCTGTCTGCTGCTGTTGGATGAGGCATTGAGTTCTTAGTCCACACTGGAGACAAGTGTGTGCAGCCCACACTTGCCTTTTGATTTGGTGTCCGGGGACTGACTTCAGATACTCAATCTTCTGCAGCGAGCACTGAATGAACTGAGCTATTTCCCAGCTAATCTCCTTTCCTGGATTCCTAAATAATCTTAAAGTATACCTTCCTTCTATTCTACGAACATGCTATGTTCTCTCTAAAAATGTTATAAAAAAAAAAAGCTCAATTATGCCCTATGTAAGCACAGCAAAGCAAACACATCACCTAACAGTATTCCTTTACACATTCTTTCTTTGTATTGTCATATACTTATGTTAAATTGGTTCACAATAAAAGAGAAAATAGTTGTGTTTGTTTTGCAGTGCTGAGGACCTTACTGGGTGTGTAGTCATGTGTACTAGGCAAGGGCACCATCCTTGTCTCATCCCCAGGGCTTAAGAGTTGAACATTCTGCTCTAAGTACAATATTTCCATTTTAAGCAGTTTAAAAGTTTAATTGTGGAAACAAAAAGTCTAACTCAAAGTTAGTTTTTGTTAGACAAATGTAGAATCAGGAATGCGTTCAGTTGATGGTAAATGTGGTGGTGTGAGTAAGAATGGCCTCCATAGGCTCATGTATTTGAATGCATAGTCACCAGGGAGTGGCACTATTTGAAAGGATTCTGGGGTGTGGCCTTGTTAGAGGAAATATGTCACTGGGAGTGGGCTTTGAAGTTTCAAAAGCCCATGCCAAGCCCAGTCTCCCCCTCTCTCTTTCTGCCTGCAGATCAGAATGTACCTCTCAACTACTTCTCCAGCACCATGCCTGCCATGCTTCCAGCCATGATGACAATGGACTGGACCTCTGAACGATAAGCCAAGCACCAATTAAATGTTTTCTTTTTTTATAGAAGTTGGCTTGGTCATGGTGTCTCTTCACAGCAGTAGAACAGTGACAATGACAATTACAGAACCGAACACCAACAGAGGTAAACAGAGAGAAGAGGCAAGTCTGTTGAGAAACGTACAAATATTTCTTCAGTATTTCTTCCTAAGTTTGGATTTAATAACGACAGCTGCCTGTCAGAATGATTTCCCAGAATCTTGCTCATCATCCTACTCTGCCCATTCTAATGTCA